GATTCCGGCAACCAATTCCTACAGTCCGACTTCTTTGAAGTCGGGTCATCTGTCGCTGGACTTTGTCCTCAACGTCAGCCGGCAGGAGTGGTCCCATCACCTTGGGTTGTAGTCTTTACAAAAGGCACATCACCAAGTCTTTCTCCTGTGGAACTGCTGGGTGGGTTTGAACCAGCAACCCTTTGGTTAGCTGAGGGCTTAACTGTTGTGCCAATCGGCATCTTTATCTGATCGATTGGGGTTATAGAGAGAAACTTAGTCCTTTAATATAGCCATGGATCCCAGAAAAGTATTGGGATAAAAGTATAAATAACCATTGCATTGTGATTTACTATGTGAGTGAACTTTAATAATGTTACAAATTTGGAATTAAAATTTATTTAGGACACTTAGCATTGATTGTCAGTGGTATGCTTTTAAAACATACATGTATGAATAAAATAACAGTGAGGGAAACATGACTATAGACTGTCATGCTATTGTATCAAACGCAAATTTGAAGTCAGATTTTGTTGTATTCACTATCATAGCTTATGTGCACGAAACTTTAAGTAGTTTGTATTTTGCTATTCTAAATCTTCAAATTTAGATAAAATATTATGTGTGTACTCATTGCCTCTTTGCAGTTGTAGTCAAATCCCTAGTCTTTTGTTTAACTTTCAATTCAAGGATGATGTGAAGTTGATCATATTTAAGTGTGTTCTCACACGTGTGTGCATGTGTGCACAGTCAAATGGTGATAGAACATAAAATATTTTAAACTTGTCTATATAAGTAAGACTGAATCTTTAAGTTGTTATCTTTGTTAATAATCTACCTTATGCAGAGAAAATTATAATTAAAAACCTTTTTTGTGCTGGTTTATTTCTTTATTTTCAATACTTCAGTCACTACCCTGGCTATGTAGTTTCACAACCTTGAAATTTTTGCCTTTGACTCCTTTCACCTAAATATAATGCTTCCTGTTTGGAATTGTTTGTTTTAATTTGTCACTTTCTTGTCTTTCCTACTGACATCTCTTTAGTCTGGGTGGCAAACAGTTCACTCAGAGGTTATTGGAAGGATGACAAGGACTAGCAGGAAGGTTCTAATCCTACTGCCACCACTTAACCAGTTCTTATTTAGCTGGAGCAATTATTTTTGTATATATTATGACAGATGTGTTTTTTCCCAGTCCACTACTGTTCCTTACACCCTTTAGTATTCCACGTCAGGGTTTCAAAAAGTTGTAGAAAATGGAATTAAAAAGTAGTGGAATTTTTTCCACAAACTTTTTGAAGTCCCCTTGTATTGAACTTCTCTGTACTATAATTTCGTTATCTGTAAATGGGGAAGATAATAAATATTTGT